ACTACATTATCAGTGGTGTAGTGACTACATTATCAGTGGTGTAGTGACTACATTATCAGTGGCGTAGTGACTACATTATCAGTGGTGTAGTGACTACATTATCAGTGGTGTAGTGACTACATTATCAGTGGTGTAGTGACTACATTATCAGTGGTGTAGTGACTACATTATCAATGGCGTAGTAACTACATTATCAGTGGCGTAGTGACTACATTATCAGTGGTGTAGTAACTACATTATCAGTGGCGTAGTAACTACATTATCAGTGGTGTAGTAACTACATTATCAGTGGTGTAGTGACTACATTATCAGTGGTGTAGTGACTACATTATCAGTGGCGTAGTGACTACATTATCAGTGGTGTAGTGACTACATTATCAGTGGTGTAGTGACTACATTATCAGTGGTGTAGTGACTACATTATCAGTGGTGTAGTGACTACATTATCAATGGCGTAGTAACTACATTATCAGTGGCGCAGTGACTATATTATCAGAAACGTAGTAATTACATTATCAGTGGCGTAGTAACTACATTATCAGTGGCGTAGTAACTACATTATCAGTGGTGTAGTAACTACATTATCAATGGCGTAGTAACTACATTATCAGTGGCGTAGTAACTACATTATCAGTGGTGTAGTAACTACATTATCAGTGGCGTAGTAACTACATTATCAGTGGTGTAGTAACTACATTATCAGTGGCGTAGTAACTACATTATCAATGGCGTAGTAACTACATTATCAGTGGCGTAGTAACTACATTATCAGTGGTGTAGTAACTACATTATCAGTGGTGTAGTGACTACATTATCAGTGGTGTAGTGACTACATTATCAGTGGTGTAGTGACTACATTATCAGTGGTGTAGTGACTACATTATCAATGGCGTAGTAACTACATTATCAGTGAGTGTAGTAACTACATTATCAGTGGCGTAGCAACTACATCATCAGTGGCATTGAAAACAAATCTCACGGTGGTTGTCAAGGTGGGGTGGGGGGCCCAACTCGTAGCTTTGCCCACCAGGGCGGAGGGGGGGGAAGGCCCCCCCTGCCTGCCCCACGCTCGTTACTCAACTGACTGCAGGGACCCCGTGACGCTGCGGCTAGATGGATGACGACTCATCCTCCCGGGTGGCTTCTCTTTTGGCGATCTGACGGGGCGCGCGAGCGCTTGGCCGTGGCTGAAATTTCGTCGTAATGCCGAAAATTCCAATTCGTAAAATCGCAAAGTGTCAGCAATTCGTCACTCGCGTTCACGCGAAAATACTCAAAAAAACAAAAGTTCGTAAATCGAGGGATACCTGTTTCACAATTAATGGGACAATCGGTGTTTACAATCAATCTACGTGACTTTACCGAAAGAACCAAAGAAAACGAGTACCCAATTGTATCCACCTCGGGATGCTAGGCCAGTCTGTCCATAGGCTGGGCTTTGGACTCGCAACCTTACCACGTCGCCAGTCCATGAAAACGGAATACAGCGCAAAGCACGTGAACATCATTGCAGTGTACCCTCGATATTCGCGAGGGATACGTTCCGGTGATGTTAGTGAATAGCACAGATAACGTTAGCTGATGAATATCGTACCGGCAGTGTCTGCCAGATGCTTCTAAAGCTTCGATAAGTTCTCTCTACTATCTCTCTCATCACTTTCCAGCATCGAATTTCTCTCTCGTCACCTTCCCTCATTACTTTATCTCTCATAAATGTATATCTATCGCCACTATATATCTCGTCACTTTATCTCTCGTCACTTTATCTCTCGTCACTTTATCTCTCGTCACTTTATCTCTCGCCACTTTATCTCTCGTCACTTTATCTCTCATCACTTTATCTCTCATCACTTTATCTCTCGTCACTTTATCTCTCGTCACTTTATCTCTCGTCACTTTATCTCTCATCACTTTATCTCTCATCACTTTATCTCTCACCACTTTATCTCTCATCACTTTATCTCTCGTCACTTTATCTCTCATCACTTTATCTCTCATCACTTTATCTCTCGTCACTTTATCTCTCGTCACTTTATCTCTCATCACTTTATCTCTCATCACTTTATCTCTCATCGCTTTATCTCTCATCACTTAATCTCTCATCACTTTATCTCTCATCACTTTATCTCTCGTCACTTTATCTCTCGTCACTTTATCTCTCATCACTTTATCTCTCGTCACTTTATCTCTCATCACTTTATCTCTCGTCACTCTATCTCTCATCACTTTATCTCTCTTCACATTATCTCTCGTCACTTTATCTCTCATCACTTTATCTCTCGTCACTTTATCTCTCGTCACTTTATCTCTCGTCACTTTATCTCTCGTAGTTTTATCTCTCATCACTTTATCTCTCATCACTTGATCTCTCTCACCACTTTATCTCTCGTCACTTTATCTCTCATCGCTTTATCTCTCGTCACTTTATCTCTCGTCACTTTATCTCTCGTCACTTTATCTCTCGTCACTTTATCTCTCGTCACTTTATCTCTCGTCACTTTATCTCTCGTCACTTTATCTCTCGTCACTTTATCTCTCATCACTTTATCTCTCGTCACTTTATCTCTCATCACTTTATCTCTCATCACTTTATCTCTCGTCACTTTATCTCTCTCATCACTTTATCTCTCGTCACTGTATCTCTCGTCACTTTATCTCTCTCCACTTTATCTCTCGTCACTTTATCTCTCGTCACTTTATCTCTCGTCACTTTATCTCTCGTCACTTTATCTCTCGTCACTTTATCTCTCGTCACTGTATCTCTCGTCACTTTATCTCTCTCCACTTTATCTCTCTCCACTTTATCTCTCGTCACTTTATCTCTCGTCACTTTATCTCTCATCATGGCAAAGTTGGTGAACGAACGAGGCAACACTGCCATCCAGTGCTCCTTGCTTGAAGTGTAAACTGCGGCGGGGTCACGCACAAAGACGTGGGTTCCAGACAAGCAGGTTCAGCCGAGGGGACCTTTCTTTGCCAGTCACGAAATATAACGAAAGGTTTCACCCTTTATGGCAATAAAACTGTCATCTCAAGATGTTAAAATGCGGCGGGGTCACGCACAATGATGGCGGGGTCACGCACAATGATGTCGGTTCCAGACAAGCAGGTTCAGCCGAGGGGACCTTTCTTTGCCAGTCACGAAATATAACGAAAGGTTTCACCCTTTTAGGCAATACAACACCTGATGGCGATTGGTTGTGTTGCGATCGAAACGTCGTGATGTATTTCTGTTTCTACCCACGCGACTTTTACCGAAAGAACCAAAGAGTATGGATTCCTGCAGTCACGAAAGCTTCAAATGGACATTAAAACGGTGTGGTGTTAAGATGTCTAAAACACCAAACAGAAGACTTTTGCAAGGAATCCTGTCTGCATTAACCACACGTAATTGTGGTGGACATGTTAAAAAAAAAAACATGCTCTCATAATGATATATGCATTAGTCTTTGAAACCGATTGGTCAGTATGTAATGTGTTGCAGTGTGTACACAGGATTTGTAATCTGCAGTATATGTATAATTTAAAGCTTTCGTGACTGCAAGGATTCATCTTCTTTGGTTCTTTCGGTAAAGTCACGTAGAATGAGAATAAAATAATAAAATAACACTATAAAATTATCACGACGTTTCGGCCACAACACAAGTGGCCTTCTTCAGGTGAAAGGAACAAACCTGTCGGGACGACAGAGCTTGAATGAACGTTGTTAAGATTCGTAGCCTCTTTTAAGCTGGTTTAGAGAAGTGAGGCACCTTGACAAAGGGAGTTTACATATCAAACAGGAGAATTTAGCATTGAAATAGCTGAGGGATTAGCTTGTGACTGGTCACAGAAATGGCTATGTTAAAGTCAAAGCCTACACATCCACAGAGGCACCTAGTACAAATCAAACAATTAATTTAGCATTGAAATAACTGAGGTATTAGCTTGTGACAGGTCACAGAAATGGCTATGTTAAAGTCAAGGCCTACACACCCACAGAGGCACCTAGTACAAATCAAACAGGAGAATTTAGCATTGAAATAACTGAGGTATTAGCTTGTGACTGGTCACAGAAATGACTATGTTAAAGTCAAAGCCTACACATCCACAGAGGCACCTAGTACAAATCAAACAGGAGAATTCAGCATTGAAATAACTGAGGTATTAGCTTGTGACTGGTCACAGGAATGGCTATGTTAAAGTCAAAGCCTACACATCAACAGAGGCACCTAGTACAAATCAAACAGGAGAATTTAGCATTGAAATAACTGAGGGATTAGCTTGTGACTGGTCACAGAAATAGCTATGTTAAAGTCAAAGCCTACACATCCACAGAGGCACCTAGTACAAATCAAACAGGAGAATTTAGCATTGAAATAACTGAGGGATTAGCTTGTGACTGGTCACAGAAATAGCTATGTTAAAGTCAAAGCCTACACATCCACCGAAAGAACCAAAGAAGAAGTATATGTATGGTTGAGTATATTGTATGAACAACGTGTGTATGAAATGCAAATTTATAGTGTATATGAATATATAGTGTGTACACTATATATGTGTAGTATATGGTTTAGTATATATAGCGTGTACTCATTGTGTATGAGTAATGCACGTGTGTAGTATATGAGTATATAGTGTGTGCACAGTATTTCTAATGTGTAGTATATTATTTCTAAAGTGTAGTATAATGTATGGTTGAGTTTATATAGTGCACACTATGTATAAGCAAGCGTGTAGTATATTCACGGTGATTATAGTGTACGCACTGTGAATAAGTGTGCAGTATAAGCATGTATATGTTATACACGAGCGTAGTATGTATGAATATATATCGTGAATAGATTTAATTAATATAAAATCCACACATCAAGTTCGACACACACTCGTTGTGTGTGGACACTGTGTGTAAGGTGTGCAATGGTAAAGCGGTGAGCGGCACGCAAGCACCTTACATGTACAATATGCAAAGTATACATTGTGTGTACACAATAATTATAATAACAGCGATGATAACGCACCAGCCAAGACGCTTTAACGTGTCCATGAACGAAGCCACAGACACCAAACCACGTGGACTCATCCACAGATTTCGCGCGGCGCACATTCGCGCGGCCAGAAAGGAGGGGGGGGAGAGGCAGGGAAAGCCGAGAGCCGAAATAAAATAAAATAAAAACTTCCGTGGATGTTCGCTTCCCACAAAGATGCCGCTCGCATTTCAGCGGCTGTTTTCAAACGCGCGCGGTTTTTTTTTTGATTCGCCGACGTGAAGTAACTCGAAGGGAATGGATTGTTGGGGGGCGGGGAAGGGCGTTTCTTCGACGGCGAATCTGCGTGTCGAGAACGAAGGGGAGAAGCCCCTTGCCGGCGTGCGTCGCGAGTCCACGTGGGTCGCGCACGCCACCCCAGGCGAGTGACAGTGCGCGGTACAGTGAGAGGGACAGTGCGCGGTACAGTGAGAGGGACAGTGCGCGTGACAGTGCGCGGGACGGTGCGCGGTACAGTGAGCGGTACGGTGCGCGGTTCGGTGCGCGGTACAGTGAGCGGGACAGTGCGCGGTTCAGTGCGCGGGACAGTGAGTGGGACAGTGAGCGGAACAGTGCGCCGGACAGTGAGCGGGACAGTGCACGGTACAGTGAGTGGGACAGTGAGCGGGGCAGTGAGCGGGGCAGTGCACAGTACAGTGAGTGGGACAGTGAGCGGGACAGTGAGTGGGACAGTGAGCGGGACAGTGAGCGTGACACTGCGCGGTGCAGTGCGCGGTGCAGTGAGCGGTACAGTGCGCGATACAGTGCGCGGGACAGTGCGCGGTACAGTGCGCGTGAACCGGGGCTCCCCCGCGTCTCTTCCCTCTAGGTCGCCTCGGCCTCAAATGAGGACCTGGCGCGGCACGTAAACGGCATCGTCGCTGGGGGAGACAAAGGCGGTCGGGCGCGGTTGCTGGGCACCCCCATTCCCTTTCGCGTGACACAGTTCCTGTTTTCATGGGGTGGGGGGGTGGGTGTGGGTGCTACTCGCTAGCGGCACTTGCCCCAGCAGCAGTCTGTCACAGGCTACGCGGGGGATCTTTGCCTTTGTGGGAGCGGTGGTGCAGCGATTAGCGCTACGCTGCTGCGCGCTTACCTGGACCCTGTGTCTGGCCGAGTTCGATTCCCGCTCACAGGCCACCAACAACCAGGTTTTGACGATAATTATCTGAACGGGTTCAGACTCAAATCAGTATCGCGGCGCGGTGTGTTCGTAAACATCGCCACTGGGGGTGGGGGGTGGAGGAGAAGGAGGAGGAGGGAAGACAAAGGCGGCCGGGCGTAGTTTTGCTGGGCCAACCACCCCGTCGTGTGCACGCGTGAACCTGCTGCTGCTGATGATGTTCGTTGTTGTTGTGAGCGCGCGCGATTATTTAATCCGTAACTGTGTGCGCAATACGGTAAATTCGTGACTCGAAGCTTTGGTGGCTGGAGGATTTTCATGTTCTAGGCGCTTTTCCTGAAGACGACCGGCTTGTTGTTGCCATCGAAACGTCGTGGTTTTATTTTACTTTTATTTTTGTTATTTTTTGTTGTTATTTTCTTTGAAGCTATCTACGTGGCTTTACCCCCGAAAGACCCAGTAATATACGGTAACTTCTTTCGCACCGTACGTAGCCGACCCGTGATAATCGTAGGTGTGGGTGGGTGACCGGGGGAACGGGGACCTTGGTGACCGGGGGACCTTGGTGACCTGGGGACCTTGGTGACCTGGGGAACGAGGACCTTGGTGACCAAGGGAACAGGGACCTTGGTGACCAAGGGGAACAGGGACCTTGGTGACCAAGGGGAACAGGGTCCTTGGTGACCAAGGGAACAGGGACCTTGGTGACCAAGGGAATGGGAACCTTGGTGACCAAGGGGAACAGGGTCCTTGGTGACCAAGGGAACAGGGACCTTGGTGACCAAGGGAATGGGAACCTTGGTGACCTGGGGAACAGGGACCTTGGTGACCTGGGGAACGAGGACCTTGGTGACCAAGGGTACAGGGACCTTGGTGACCTGGGGAATGGGAACCTTGGTGACCTGGGGAACAGGGACCTTGGTGACCTGGGGAACGAGGACCTTGGTGACCAAGGGGAACAGGGACCTTGGTGACCTGGGGAATGGGAACCTTGGTAACCGGGGGAATGGGAACCTTGGTGACCAAGGGGCACAGGGACCTTGGTGGCCTAGAGAATGGGAACCTTGGTGACCAAGGGGCACAGGGACCTTGGTTGCCAAGGGAATGGGAACCTTGGTGACCTGAGGAACGGGGACCTTGGTGACCTGGGGAATGGGAACCTTGGTGACCATGGGAACGGGGACCTTGGTGACCTGGGGAATGGGGACCTTGGTTACCAAGGGAACGGTGACCTTGGTGACCTGGGGAATGGGAACCTTGGTTACCAAGGGAACGGGGACCTTGGTGACCTGGAGAATGGGAACCTTGGTTACCAAGGGAACGGGGACCTTGGTGACCTGCGGAACGGTGACCTTGGTGACCTGGGGAATGGGGACCTTGGTTACCAAGGGAACGGGGACCTTGGTTACCTGGAGAATGGGAACCTTGGTTACCAAGGGAACGGGGACCTTAAGGACCTGCGGAACGGTGACCTTGGTGACCTGGGGAATGTGGACCTTGGTTACCAAGGGAACGGGGACCTTGGTGACCTGGGGAACAGGGACCTTGGTTACCAAGGGAATGGGAACCTTGGTGACCTGGGGAATGGGAACCTTGGTGACCTGGGGAACAGGGACCTTGGTTACCAAGGGAACGGGGACCTTGGTAACCAAGGGAACGGGGAACTTGGTGACCTGGGGGAACGGGGACCTTGGTGACCACGGGAATCCTTGCGGTCACGAAAACTTAAAATCTAGAACTTACCAAAGGAGTGTCTCTCGACAGTCGCCGTGACTCCAATGAGCACCGCACCGCTCAACGTGTGCTTTGTGAGCGACAGGAAACCGGCTTTCAATCGGGGTCCGAGACCTCCTGTGGTCCCTCGGTTAGGCTCTACGAGCTCTCCGTCTTTCGGAGGGATGCTCTTTTTGTGTTTTGTTTTTGTTGTGCGTCGGTCAACCGAACTGTCGACGATTTGGTTTGATGGTCACGGCCAGAAGAGCCGAGACTCCGCGGGGGTCTCGGGGTTGTGGGCGACGTTGACGATCGCCGGTCGCCCTTCTTCCCCGTGCCCCGCTGCCGATGTAGATGGCGGAGGCGACAACTTATTCTCTCATCAAAACTTCATACCATAGGGCTCGTTGCATTTCGGACCAACACCACCTGACCAGTGAATTAAAACGTGTACACCTGGCCCTCAAAAGGAATGGATGCCCTGACCGTACCATCCGCCAAGCTGTTTCTCCCTCCATACAGAAACAACCACTTGATACTCCGGTCAAAAACCATCACACTACTATATATAGCAGGCGTTACTAAAAAGATTTCCAAAATTCTAAACAAACACAAGATCCAGGTCCGGTTCAATACAGTACACAAAATTCGTGATCTGATCCCATCCGTGAAGGATGTCATTCCTGACTTACAATACCCCGGGGTTTACAAATTGAGTTGTACCTGCGGTGATTGCTATATCGGGGAGACAAAGCGACATGTCTCTGACCGAATTCGCGAGAACAAATCAGATTTGAAACACGGCAGAACGAATTATTCTGCCGTAGCTGATCACTGTTACAGCGCCGTGGGTGATCACGATATACTTTTCTCCGATACCAAGGTTCTTTGCAAACCTACGGGTTTTTATCAGAGATTTGTTCACGAGGCAATTCAGATCTACAAACACAGACACAATTTCAACCGAGAAGATGGTTTCAAATTAAGCAACCATTGGAAAGATATTCTAAATCGAACCAAACATTAAACTACTTTTCAATGGTACAGTATATTTTTCAAGTAGTGGTACCCCAAACTTTCGCAGCTCTTAAAAATTCCCTTTTCACACCATCAATAGGTAAACTCCCCCGCCCCCCCTCACCAACCGGCCTATTCACCCGCAGGTACACCACCTCTACACCGTTCATCATGCTAAGTCGGCCAATCAAATGCTAATTTTTATGCTAATTCCTTTGTCAAGGCACCTTGTTTCCTCGCACACAGCTTAAAGGTCGCGGTCTGAGCGTGGCTGTGTTTCACTCCAGCGCTGTCCTCGAGACAGCCTGGTCCCTTCACCTGATGAAGGCCGCTTGTGTTGTGGCCGAAACGTCGTGATTTTTGTTGTTTTATTTTTTTACTTACGTGACTTTACCGAATAGAACCAAAGAGGATGTCACGTTCAGGTTGGTCAAGCCACTGATAACCGCGGCAGCAGGAGCAGCAGAGTAAGCGTATCATCATCGCCACGATGCCTCCTCCTTATTTGTGGATCGGGGAGGTGGGTGGGGGGGTCATTGCGTCGTTCCACGTCGTACGGTGCCATTCTGGATGACCTGCAGCAGTCGCATGCCGTGTCAACCCATACACGGTTTGCCCCGTATTCTTGTGCAGGGAAATTGAGTTTTACAGGTCCGCACGGCGTACAGCCGTTTCACTGCGGGCATAAACAAAAAATGGTTTTGTTAATTTGTGTTTCTCCCTTGTGATGGGACTTTTATAGGAAGAACGTTGGGATTTATAAGGTCTGAATTTGTCTGTAATAAGGTAGGGCACTGAGAAGGGGTTGACAGGTTTGTAGTGGTGAGTGTAGTAGTGGTGAGTGTTGTTGTGAGTGTAGTAGTGATGAGTGTAGTAGTGGTGAGTGTAGTGGTGATTGTAGTGGTGGTGAGTGTTGTAGTGGTGAGTGTACTGGTGGCGAGTGTACTAGTGGTGAGTGTAGTGGTGAGTGTAGTGGTGAGTGTACTAGTGGTGAGTGTACTAGTGGCGAGTGTACTAGTGGTGAGTGTAGTGGTGAGTGTACTAGTGGTGAGTGTACTAGTGGTGAGTGTAGTGGTGAGTGTACTAGTGGTGAGTGTACTTGTGGTGAGTGTACTAGTGGTGAGTGTAGTGGTGAGTGTACTAGTGGTGAGTGTAGTGGTGATTGTAGTGGTGGTGAGTGTTGTAGTGGTGAGTGTACTAGTGGTGAGTGTACTAGTGGTGAGTGTACCAGTGGTGAGTGTACTAGTGGTGAGGGTAGTGGTGGTGAGTGTAGTGGTGAGTGTACTAGTGGTGAGTGTACTAGTGGTGAGTGTAGTGGTGAGTGTACTAGTGGTGAGTGTACTTGTGGTGAGTGTACTAGTGGTGAGTGTAGTGGTGAGTGTACTAGTGGTGAGTGTAGTGGTGATTGTAGTGGTGGTGAGTGTTGTAGTGGTGAGTGTACTAGTGGTGAGTGTACTAGTGGTGAGTGTACCAGTGGTGAGTGTACTAGTGGTGAGGGTAGTGGTGGTGAGTGTACTAGTGGTGATTGT